TCTTGGTTGCCCATTTATCTCCCTCTGTCACCACCCGTGGCAGCTCTAATATAACTGCTGGGCAGGTATTGAGCAGTGAGATGAGCAGGTGTGAGAAAGGACCAGGCGCAACTGTCACTAGCTTGACAGGAGAAGATGGATGGTGAGAAAAGGAAGGCCAGATCCAGGAGCCTGAAGGCTAAACAGGAGGAGGGGAAGAAAGGCCAGACAGCTGCCCCTTCTACTAGCTCACTTTTCCTCTTCAGTGGGCTTGATCCAGAAAGGCTATTATACCTGTATATGTTATTAATCCATCTTGATTTTATATATGCCTGGGGCCTACCCCAAATCTATCCCAGAGTCCAGGAAGGCCTAAGTGTATGAGATCCTGCTACTACAGTCCATATTGACCATTCATTGGTCATCTCCCTTGCGATCCAATTCATGCCCTTGCCCAGGCAGCAATAGGAAGGGAAGAACAAGGTCCCCTGTTGGCACCTGGATGTGTCAATCATCCTCAGAGTTTGGCTGGTGATTGTTTCTCTCAAAATTGCCATTTTGCATCTGGCTTAGAGTACCTTTGTGTCCTTCTCCAGATGTGGAATATGAAAGCCAAGTACAGTTCATAAATCAAAGTAAAATATGTGCAGACTAGGAAAGTCCTACTCCAGGGAACTGAGTTTTGAATTAAAACTTATGTGTCTGAGGCGATAATGGAGGGCAAGAATCAAAATGTTTATGGATCCAGTAAAAGCATGATTGCAGAGAAATGGCAGTGTGTGCATTATCCTTGAACTATTTAGCATTGTCATATGAGATATCTGCCAATGTCATGGCTAGATTTTAGATTTTTACTAAGCCATAATGTGAATGGTTTTGGCTTAGCACTACTATAGTTTACTCATGAAACTAGGATTAAACCAATTTAACAAAATATAGAAACTCAATCATAGAAAGCCAGCTTCTTAGGTCAATTATACACTGAAAGATGTAGCCAAAAGAACCAGCTTTGCACCACTTAAGATTAAGGCCTTGTCCTCTCCTGAATTAAGTTTTTAATAAATATTTTTGATAAAAGATTTTTTAAAACTATAGAAACAAAGAGGAAGAAATAGAAAAGATTAATAAGTTTAAAAAGTGAATAACAAAAAATGAAGGAAAAAGAAAGATCTAAAGTGATTTCCAATTTTCTTTGAAGCAGTTATAAATATAGCAATTACCATCTCTACCCTCCCATATTGTATGTAAAATCACAATTCCTTTCTTCCCATTAGAAAAAAATTTTAATCAGTAAATCCCAAAATCAGTGTTCAAATTTACTCATTTTCAGCAAAGTCTCTAAAAGATTTCCAGTCTTTTTTTAAAAAATAAAAATAGTATCAGCTCCCTCTTAAATTCTCCTTTGAATTAATGAAGCTTACAAGTCTGCGAGCATAAACCAGAGACCATTCGTAGCAGATATAATGTCTGCGTCATAGGCTTATGCATTTTGCCCTGGCTTATCTCTCTCTCTCTGATTCTAGTCATCTAAAAATAAAGGAAAAGCCATTTAATTACAAAGAGTTGATGATGTTTTCTGATGGATGTTTGGGAATATTAGGTGCCCACCATGTTGTTAAATACCCCAGGCAGCCAAAATTACTGTTACTCTGAATTTCCTACTCCACAGATTCTCAAGATAACATTCCTAGAAAAAAGAGCGGCCTTCGCTACCTGGCAGGTGGAACCATAAGGATGCAAAGAAAGTTTGGTTGGGAGAGAAGACAGTTCCTACACCTGTAATCATTTCCTGTGTAGAAAAGAAAATGTGCAAAGGTATTCCATCCAGGGGTGGTATTCAGCAGTTTCTGACCAGTTCTGGAGAACCAGTAGCAGAAATCTAGAGTATTTTGGAGAACCAGCAAATCCCACCTCTGACTGGAGATTTTAAGTATCCTTCCCCTGCCATGCCCACCAAGCCACGCCCACAGAACCAGTAGTAAAAAAAATTGAATCCCACTACAGATTCCATCCCATTATTAAACTGCCAGGGGTCAGGAAAAAAAAAACTGCATTTGAAACCTGCATTCCTCTTTGATACAATATGGAAAGGCACTCAGGAGCTGACCAGGAGCCCACTGCTCACTTGATACTAGAAGCAGACTTGGGCTCTTCCATCATGGCTTCTTGTCTCTCTTTCTATGAGAAATGCTAACAACAATTAGAGCTGTCATGGCCACTGTACCTCAGAGGAAGCATTTTGCCCTCTGGCTTTAGCAATATTATTTCAGCCCAGGAGGTGGTCTCAGGACTGCTGCCCGCGGTCACCTGCTCATTGGGCTCATTGATCGATGGGTGTTGGCTGCATGGACATGAGCACCCGATGATTCTAGCAAGTGCTGCTTTCATCCAACCAAGCCTTTATCAGATTCACTCTCCTCCCTGCTTTGCTGCTCATTGGAGGGAATGAAAACCTCTCTTGATACGTGTCCACCACTAGCCCCCCAGCCCTGCAGTGATGGAAAATAAAACGGTTCACACCATTCTGGAGATCAAGCTCAGAGCATTGCAGAGCAGGAGATGGCAAGACTGAGAAGGGAATGAACTGAACAAGCCAGAGTCTTCCCACGGCCTTCCAGCTACCTACAATGTCAGGTAATTGGACCCTGCAATGTACTTCATCCATGTTTTGGACCTTGGCGGTTTTCTCTTTTTGAATTCTTCTAAGGCACTAGGTTCCTCTAGCACTAGGACAGATAGGGATGCAGTTACTGGACTAAGGCTGCTTCTCCAAACTAGTGCTACAACTCCCATCACCCCAAATCTAAAGGTTGGGAAAGGCTGCCTTAAAGATAGCTTACTCTTGCATTGCATTGCTGTGCAGAGAAGCAGCGTTTTTGATTCTTGAGCTGGGCCTTTCTGGTGATAATTCCACATGTGCCTGTTCAGTAAAATCCTTGCATGTTGGAGATAGTAAGGTAGCATTTCTTTTATCTAGGTCAATTGGGAATCCTAAAGAGTAGCAGCCTGGGTCATCTCAAGGGAAGTCCGTTCTACAACTTCATAGGAAATATTCTGAGGGTGCAAGACTCTGACTCAGTCCCTATGAGCGTCTGGTGGTGGAAGAAACTAGAAAACAATCAGGACATTAAGCTAAAGGGGTTGTGGTAGCAATGGGTGGAGCTCCTTGTTTATATCAGTATATGAAGGGCACACAGGATTAAGCCACAAGAATGAATTTATCCAATTACATGCTTGTTTGATTTTGAATACTTGTTTGATTTTAAATGTGGCAAATGCTTTAGGAGGAAGTGGTGGAGTTGCCCTGACTACTTCAGTTGGAATCCTGAAATAATGAGAATGATAGCATCCTCAGAGTGGAAAAAGGCAGGTGAGATGGGGTCATTCAGCTAGGAAGCTTACCATGCAGCTTCCATACAGCCATACCCAATTGGCAATTCTACCCAGTGATTCTTCCTGTGGCAGAATTTACAGGACTGCAGGCATTGGGTGTAGCTGATGGATGGTGCATGAAGCCCCCCCTCCCGGTTTTTTATTATTTACAGCTTAAGAGCAGTTCACATGATGGATGCATTCAATTTTAACAGCCATTTCGATTGGAGAGATGCTAAATGAAGTTGATAGTTAAACTCCCTATATAATTGAGGAGCTTCAGTTTGTTCTGGGATTTGTTTGTTTTTTAAAGAGAATCTAATTGTGTTGCAAACCACCCCCACCACTAGTTTTGCTATTGAATTTTGGCAAGGTAACCCAGGAGGTTGCAAAGCTGAGTTTAGGGAACATACTTGGGCAATGAATCATGAGTTGATCGTCCTTATTTTAAAGAAATTTGCTGGGATGGATGGCCCTGATGTTCTTAGGCACAGGGAAAATGAAAGGAAGTTAGACAAGGAACTCACAGTTAGATGAATAGTAGAAGAATAGTAAATAGGCTTGAGCTTTGGTTGAATAACTTAGCCACAATTTTTCCGGGTTCTGCACGAGTGTGTGAATTGATAACTGGAGTTGTGCGTCTATCCAGAAACTTTTGGATGGCTGTGTAGTATCAATACAACGGAACTCTTTATTATAAGGTTACATTAACAGAATTTTGCAAGTCTGAAAGTACATTTCTGTCCTGTTGCCTTTATAACTCAAGAAACTGGGGAAGTTCTTTTTGGAATTATTTACTATTCCTACATTCCTTCTATAAGCTAAACTGCCTCTTATCCAGGGGTGGATTCAAATTTTTTAATAACCGTTTCTTTGGGCATGGCTTAGGTGGTGGGTGTGGCTTGGTGGTCATGTGACTGGGTGGATATGGCTTGGTGGTCATGTTATTGGCTGGGTGTGGCCAACTCAATATCACTCACATCGAGGCACGCATCTCCTCGCCTGGCCTCTCATGACTGTGGGGATGTTGCAACAGTCGTAAGTGTGAAAAATGGTCATAAGTCCCTTTTTTCAGTGCCATTGTAACTTTGAATGGTCACTCCACACAAGCAAAGTACCAGCAAAGAAGGGGAAAAAAACTCCAGAGAAGTTCCTGAGACAGGAAGTCTAGTCCAGCCAAGAATGTAATAAGGGTTAACAGAGAGGCAGTTTCTGTAAGCAACACCAGAATGTTTCCTTCCTGCCTTCCTTACAGGATTAGGCCAGTAATTTCTTCTAACAACTGGTTCTCCGAACTGCTTAGAATGTTAACAACCAGTTCTAGAGAATAGGTGCAAACTGGTAGAATCCCAGCCCTGCTCTTATCCTACTGTTTCCCCGGCTGTGGCTCTTCTCCCTGCCTTCAAAGGCCATTCCCACAAACCATTCCTCACATTTTTTAGAACCTGCTTTAAAATATATATAATACACATGTAATTTTTCTAAGGGCTCTAGAAAGGGATGAAGAGGAAAAGGCAAGGTGTACAAAAAGAGAAGAATTGCCTAAAAAGAGCAGAACATTAATCTCCTCAGCTTCCATATTGAGCTATACCACGCTCATATTCCATACCCAGAACTAGGTATTCACCATATCCCTGTGGGAACTATACATGGCTGAAATAGGTCAGTTCTGAGGTAAAGTCCACCTTGATTCAGACTTGACCCATGGACCTGTATATTTTTAAAAAATTCCAATCCTTCTTCAGCCCTCGTATTTCTTGGTTGTCTCCCATCCAAACAATAAATATGCTCAACCATGTTTAGCTTTTCAGGATCAAGTCAAATTGGTTAGGCACTGCCACCTGGATGGTCATTTCAAACAGATTTAGGAAATTAATGTTTCTTTATCTCAATGAAACTGCAGTTCTAATTAGATCTGGACAGAAAGCAATCATTTTGAATATTTCATTAAACTTTGGAGCCAAAAAACAGGTATTTTAAGGCATACTAAAGGACAAAATAAGTATTATGCAAACAACATAATAACAAACATTTTAGGGAAAATGTAAAGCATTATGTATATTAAAAGGACAAAGGGAAATGGAGTAATGAAACCACAAGATGGAGTAGTTACAACATGCAAAGTTTAATTTAAAGTTTCCCAGGCTCTACTGGAAAAAGCAATATGAAAAGAAGCTGAATTAAAGCGTTAATATAAGTAAGGTACAGTAATGATTAACTGATTTTTAAAAACCCAGTGGTAATAATTGATTTGTTGTTAGACAGAACAATTTTAACTCCTAGTTTCCTAACTGGGATTGTATAGGGCAACAATCTTTCGCATCATCTCTAGGGAGTGTGCCCTGATGGTCCAGATCCGCTCATAGAAAACTCTCAACAATACAAATCTAAAGAGGCGATAAAACCATGTCTGGATCTTCTAAGTCCAAAACTGATCCTTTTCTCTGACAGGTTTCTCTCAGGCATGTCAGCTTGGAATTCACAAAGCTAATCCCACTAATACTTCCAATGTGGGAAGTGCTGTAGGAGCTTTGGCTAAAAAGATCCACCAGGCTGAAAAGGCTTGCAAGGGTGTCCTAGCTCCCACTCCACAAAGCACAAAGGGTTGGCTTTAAGTAGCAGTTGGTAGCTCTCCGGTCCCACTTTATTGCACCTAAACTTCCTCTAATTAAATACAATTCTAGACCCTTCAGTGAAGAGAAAAGAGAGAAAGAATTATAATTACCTGGTCCGCAGTAGGGATTCAAGCAACAAACTCCTGTAGGCTCTAGTGAAAACTTTGAAACCGTACTTGTCTGTCCAAAGTACAGACTTCAGGAATGCCCTGGTAGAAAAGTAATCCAAATGAAGTTCAGGGAAAAAAATTAAAAATAAAGTCATGGAACCTGAATATCAAGAAATGAATAAAATTACAATAATAATCTCTTTCTCATTTTTTTTCTCTCTGTATGTATAAATGTATTCATAACATGGGGAAAAACTTTTCACAGCTGGAAAGAAAACTGAATTACTGCCAAATTCTCCATGACCCACATATCCAACCTCCGAAAGCTCAGCTCATTTAGGAAAACAGTCATGAATAGCCTTAACACAAAAGGGAAGACATTTTCATAGCAGGAAAATCATTCTTCTACAATGAGAAAGCCAAAGAAGTTTTCCCTAAGGATCTTTGAAAAAGCAAATCAGTGAAACTATTCCAAGTAATAATAAATAAAGGAGAAAGGAGGAGCCCCATTACAGAGCTACAATCTCTTTAATCTCCCAATGCTTTCGTTTTTCTTGCCAATGCAATGGTTCGTTTCTTCTTCTTTTTCAGTTAAAATTTAATGGTTTGGGTGGGTAAATGGATGATTAAAAGTGAAGGCCAGAAACAAATAAACAAACAAAAAAAATCAGCTTACCCTTGTGAAAGAATGGAATAGCAATAATGCATTCTCATCATCCATTGTCAACAGTGTAACAAATTATTAAACTTTTCTCATACTATCTTTGTCATGTGATTTTTCAAGCTATTTTGCCAGAATAGCTGCTTTTTCCTGACTCATGGGGCCTTTTTCCCATTGCCAAGTTAAAAATCTTTCCATCTATCCTTGACACAGCAGAAAATTACCAGCATAAAATTTGCTTTTCCCACTGCTAATCGATCTCTTGCATCTTGTTTTCAAGTCACTACAACCACCTGATTTCCTTACAAGGAAACGCAGGACAAAACTGATTTTACACACTGTGAGGCTGGCCTTAGACAATGTCAAGATAATGGGCAGGGGGGGAAGCATACCGCAATGAATTAAGCCTCTCTCACTCATGGACTAGAACCCAAATGAAAGCAGTATCATGGGGACACAGCCAAAAAAAGTGGCTGGAGAATTTTGGAGCCATAGCAACATGCAAACAGGGAAAGAACCTCTGAATCCAGGCAAAGAAAGAACATTATCCTCAAAACACCTGGTACGTTTTGAGAATCAGATTTTGCTCCTGTTCCATCCTATGGCTCTATTGTTCCCTTATAAAAGCAACATCTCCTGTAGTGTTCAAGAGGTGTGAATAATGAAGACTTGGTCTGGAGGGGTTGTGTGTTATTTTTGCCGGGGTGATTCCCTACGCTCACTTTCCCTCTGTCAAGGCCTTTCTTGGCTGGTTTTACACAATATGCTTTTCAGGTGTGGCTCAGCTTGTTGTAGGAACTCAGCCATTGTCTTAGTTTGTTGCATGAGCAACAAATCATGTTGATCTGTAATATTGTTGACTTGTTCAGACACAGTATTGTTATGCGGTGTCTGAACCACACCAATTGCGTTTTGCTAACTCAAGTTTAGTGTTCAATATGCTGTATGACTCATTGATCAAGCGCTTTGAGCAGCTTCTAGAGAAACAGTTCCTAGTACTATCAAAGGTTCCCATGCATTCATTCCATCTTCTCTTCATTGATGGAAACAGTCTATTTCAGCTTATCCCTTTGGGATGAGGCACATTAATTGAGGTCTGCTAAAATGGTGTGAGACTCCTATTCACAATTTATACAGTAACAGAGTACACATCTTTACAACTACATCAGGATCAAATCTCAGCTAGAACTTCAGAAGATGCTGACACTGTCTTTTCCTGCTTTGCACAGAAAAGGTTACGAAAAGCGTACAGGACATAGCTCAGCCTTCAAATTTATTTTCAAATTCATAACTTACATCTTAAAACATATACTGATGTTTTAAGGAAAGCTTAATTCTGAGCGGACACAATTACTTATAATCAGTGAATAACAGAGGTGGTATTCAGCAGGTTCTGACCAGTTCTTTTCTGAGTTCTTTTCTTTTATAAGAAAAAGCTTCACGCTTTTTGATGACAAGTATTTCTTTTGAAGCACACAGTCAGCACTCAATCAGCTTGGGGGTGGGGTGGCTCATTGCTGAGATATATGTTTAAGGCTCTGCGTCAGCATGGCTCGAGACTGAGTGTCATTGAGAGAGGCAGTTGCAAATCTTCCAAATTCACAAACCACAGTCTGAGATGAAGTCAATAGTTTACATCCCACCCATGTAATTATTCCTGATGTAACCACCTCTTATATGTAATATAAAGTTTGGTTGATGTATTCTTTAACTAAAAAGGTGACCTAATAGTGTCCTTTAATTTCCTAATATACTTTTACAAACAGGTGAGTTAATATAGTTGGAAAAAAATTAATTGTGCACATATAATTGGGCATAGTATGAAGTGAAATCTATTTTGTCCATTGGGATACATTCCCACGCCATCCTTCAAAGTTAATCCACGACTGTAAGAAAGCAGACTGTCCTAAGAGGGATGCAATTATTTTTTTGATTATCCCCATTCATCTGGGTCTGTACCCAAACACACCAGGATTTCCCAAAAGTGCTTTTTCAAAAGGCAACTGGACTTTGTTTTTGCTTGAAGACATTTTGCTTCTCATCCAAAAAGCTTCTTCAGTTCTTGGATGAGAAGTAAAACATTCTTCAAGGAAAAACAAAGTCCTCTTGCCTGCTTGTTGATTCAAACATGTTTGAATCCCACCACTGATCTGGAACTGACACTGTGGTTTTCTTTCTCTTCTCTCTCAGCATTCATTGCAGCAAGTTTGAGTGTATTGACCTCTGAGGGCTGCCCCTTCTCTCCTAGCCCTGTGGCTGCATCATGTCTGCTGGGCACAGCAGCCGACTTTGAGCAATATGGAACCAATGGGGCAGGGAAGCAAAGTGGCAGCTCCCAGTTAGCCAGGAAAAACCAATGTGTGTCTGGTGTCACTGTGCAACTGGAAATGAGGAGCCTTTGGGAGGAGTTCAACAGCCTTGGCACCGAGATGATTGTCACCAAGGCAGGACGGTAAGGTCATGCTCTTGGGATCACAGGTGCAGACATTTCTTGGTCAAAAAATCTCTAATATGTGTAGATTTCAACTCCCCACAAACCAGATGTCGGGAAAGCACACCACTTAGCAAAGTTTCAGGAGACTCCAAAAACTGCACCTATAGTACATTTATAAGAACAAAGTAAAAGATAATTAAGAAATTTAAGGAGATTATACCATGCACCCGAGCTTTCTAAATGAGCGCAGCTGCTTTAATGCTTCAAAAAATGTGTGTAAAATATGGTTTACTATCTAAGCAAATTCTCTTTCAAATGTTTTGCCGGAGCTTGTTGTGTGCCGTAGGAGAAATTGCCCAGCTTGCCAATTTGTGAGAAGCCACTTGGTAAGTGGCTTGGGCCTTTAAGGCAAAATTTGTAGTGGCTTTTCCTGCATATTTGGGCACATGATATTTGCCCTTGCCTGTCCCAGAGTATGCCATTTACTCAGCTCAGGAATATTTCCCCACATTCTGTGATGGCCTTCAAAGCATGAAGGAAGGAAGGAAGGAAGGAAGGAAGAAAGCTTACCGTAGGAAATTTCCCATACTCCCACCCCAAAGCTACTGGCCCCATGCAGCATGCTCAGTTGTATCAATTATCCACAATAACTCATCTTTTTGTGGCCAGCAGATCCTAGTCATCTAACACCCTTGCGGTCTATTGGCATTTCTAGGCCATGATAAGTCCTTTCCTACTGCAACAGCGAGGCTAAACAAATGATCTTGCAAAGTTCTTTTTCTCTGTGGCAGGAGGATGTTTCCCACCTTCCAGGTGAAGATATCAGGCATGGACCCATTGGCTGACTATGTGCTTCTAATGGATTTTGTCCCTTTGGATGACAAGAGATATCGGTACGGGACTGTAAGTTTGGATCTATTGTTTTCAATGGAAACCTCAACGAATGACTGTAGCCAATGGAATCTCAGCCCATTCTCTATAACCAAAGCTTTTCTATCACCAGAGTTCAGGGGGTTCTGGGATTTTTATTTTCTTTCTGAAAACTAAGCTTGAGAAGGTTTGAGACTTTCCATTCTCTTCTTCCATTCCTCCCCGCAAGCCCTTCAAATATCAGCTGTCTTCTATTACCACTTCTGGTTGGCTTCCGGGAAACCAAGGTTTGGTTTTGATTTTGAACCTTTCCCTTGAAAGCTGTTTTACTTTTGCAAAACCTGAGGTTCAGTTGTGTCAGCATATGTGGTCCTCTTGTTGGGCCACCGTGGCTCAGAAGGGTTAACTTTTGCTGACATCGTGAACATAGGATGAATGCTGAACTGTGCTGCCCTAAAAATATTGACATGTTTGCCAGAAGAGTTTTTTTGTAACTTTAATGAAAGCCAATATTCTATACAAGAATTTAATTTCAATTGTCAGACTTTGAGGATCAGGAATAGTAATCCAAGTAGTCCTCAACTTACAACCACAATTGAGCCCAAAATTTATGTTGCTAAGTGAGAGATTTGTTAAGTGAGTTTCACCCCATTTCTGACTTTTCTTGCCACATTTGTTAAATGAATCACTACAGTTATTAAATTAATAACATGGTTGTTAAGTGAATCTGGCTTTCACATTGACTGCTTGTCAGGAGAATCACCAAAGGGGAATCACATTATCCTGGGACTCTGCAACCGTCATAAACGTGAGTCAGTTGTCAAGCATCCAAATGTAAATTACATGACCTTGGGGATGCTGCAAAGGTCAAAGTATGAAAAGTGATCATAAGTCATTTTTTTTCAATAACTTTGAATGATCACTAAGGGGAACTATTGTAAGTTGAACAAGCAAATCTGTATTGCTTGTCAAGGAAATGGCTTCTTTGAAGTTACAGGTTCGATACCCCATAGACTCTTTCCAAGGCCTTCTTCCTGGAATTATTACCAAGAGCAAAAGGCTATAAAGAATGACTTCCAGGCAGTTAAAGTGTACCTTCTGTTCCAATTTAACGTTATCTGTGAAGGAAAAAAAATACACGTTCTGTACCAGATCTCTTCAGAAGAGAAGAAGGTTGCTGAATAATGATATACACTCTAAGACAGTGATGGCTAACCTTTTCTGGACGGAGTTCCCAAAGTACGCAAACGCACCAGTACCTTCAAAATGCAATGCATGCACTGCCCCTACACATGCGCCTCCTCCACACATGCACCCCCCGCACACACCCCGTGTATGCGCAGCTGAGACCTGATGACCAGCTGGCCGGCGAGAGGCACATGCTCATGCGCAGTGGAGCTGAACTAGGGTGACGGCTTGTATGCCCACAGAGAGGGCGCTAACGTGCCACCTGTGGCACACATGCCATAGGTCCACCATCATGGCTCTAAGGCATAATAACTCCATACTTTGATTCTCAAGATAAAAGCCACATAAGTAATATGCATTTAAGTTGTATTAGGCTTCTATATTAGCATGCAGCAGACAGTCAGCAACTGCCAGTCTGTGATGCAAATCCTGCTGGGCATCAGTTGTCAATGCCAATAAAGACCTGAAAGTCAAAGAGTTGGATTCATTATTATTATTAATTTGTCTAGTGTGTCTTCAGGGATGAAAAACACATAGCCTTGATTCCCCCTCCTTTTCTTGTCATTCTGGGCTTTGGTCAACAATGGAAATTAATTAGTAAGAGTCAAGTAAATGTCTGGTCCTTGAATGAAGCTATTCATTAGAGATGCACAGATTTTAAAATGGCTGACATGGTGAGGAAAAACTGTTTACCCAAAAGAAAATCTCAAACCCTGTCCCTGTTGCCCATTCTAGTTCCTCAGGATGCTGTTTGTCATCCTAAAGTACATGGCATACTTCAAAACAAAATCGTTTTTTGTGGCCATCAACATGCTAGAAGACAGCATGGGATGACTTCATGGGATCATCAAGAGGCATTTTTAAGTGATGCTAGATAACTGGTATTTTGCTTTGTAGTATTCCCGTAACCATTTGTTTATTTTTAGAAAGTATTTACGGGTAAATAAAAACAAAATGGGACATAGAACTATAAGACTTAAGCCACCCAACACAATCAGTTCTCTCTTTTGCCTCTCTTTTGGTTGCTGAAACATATTTCAGTTCAGAATCTCATTTACACTTAAAAAAGGTCTTGATTTAGATTTTAGACTCTGCATGAATCACTCTATCTTAGTCATGGTATTGCCAAATTTGTCTGAGCATCAATACATATGTATGTGTGCTTATGAATTAAACAATGTATGTTGCATCCTTTGGCCTTCTTCCAGGCTGATGGGTAGGGCCATAATTCTCATCTCTGAGATGTCCAGTAGTTGGGATGGATAACCTTTTTTGGTTCCACAGCAGGGAAGCAGGTTCATATATAGTTAGTACTTCACTATTCCATAGACAGAACTGGCCTGATCTAGCCTATTTTTTCCATTGGCCTGAAAAGCAAAGGCAAGATTTTGAGCTGATAAGTAAAACAAAAAACAAAAACAAACAAACAATGGGACTTCCTAGCAAACCAAACATAATGGATGGATCCAGAACAAGCCAGGACTGTAATAACCTGGCCCAGCATGATACCTCTTTCCTACAGGTATGCATTCCACAGTTCTGCTTGGCTGGTAGCTGGCAAGGCGGATCCTGCTACACCCGGCCGGGTTCACTTCCATCCTGACTCCCCTGCCAAGGGAGGCCAGTGGATGAGGCAAATTGTCTCTTTTGACAAGCTCAAGCTCACCAACAACTTGATGGATGACAACGGCCATGTGAGTTGCTCTGGACTCTTGCATGATAAATAACCATTTAGCTTCCTCACTGGATTGCACTTGATTTAATAGCAACTGCTTAAGGCAGTTGTTTCATGTTTTTCTCCTGTTTTTATTTTAAGAAAGGCAATTGATTCTTTAAATGCAATCATAATAATATTCAGATTTTTTTTTAAAAAAAATCCTAAATATATTGCTGGCAGTACACTATTAGTGTTGCAGCAGATCCTGTTTCCAAATCAGGACACAGGACCACAAAGGGTAGGAGAATACAGGTTTATTTGCGCAAAAGGTTCAGAGCATTAGCATGGCAAATTCTGAACCCCCGGCTATCCCTGAGGGGGTTACTTTTATACAGCTCCCAGTCTCAGTGTACTACAAAAGGGGAAGCAAGTCTACTTAGTCATTCGTTCTTATTCTTCGGTTTCTTCTGTTATTTTCCATACCTACCCTTGCTTACAGGAACACGTCTAGTTCTTAGGTTCAGCAATTTTGTGGTTTCCACAATATCGTATTAAGCAACTTCTATAATATTTGTGATATAAGCTAAGAAACTTCTGCTAATTATAAGAATACTTTTCTGGTAACTTTCCATTCTGCTTCATTAGCAAACAACAAAAATTATATACACTTCTCCAAGATTCTTCTCAAACAAGATTTTACAAAAAAAAAAAAAAAAGAAGGGCTGTGGTAGTAATGGAGGGAAAACAGAAAGTAAGGGTTGTAAGAAAGTAAGGGAGGGAGGGGGAGAGAGACTTTTGGCTTCGTGCAAGGAAAGCAGCAGAAGTATTTCTTTCTCTCCCACAAACTCTGCCAGAAATGAGTCTTTACTGGCACAGCCTCTTGGAGCAGGAGGCCTTGCAGGGTCCTAAAGACTCATTTCTGGCAGAGTTTGGGGGAGAGAAAGAAAGACTTTTGCTGCTTTCCTTGCATGCAGCCAAAAGTGGAAGAAGAAAGAAGTGGAAAGAAGTAGCCCAGCAACGCAAGCCTTGTGTTCTTGAGGGCCATGTGGATGACACAGCCTTGTGTTCCCACACAACCTGGATTAATTGCTTTGGGGGGTGATTTTGGGTGACATTTCTCTGCAGACCACCACAATTTTCTTGCGGACCACCAGTGATCCCTGGCCCACTGGTTGGCAACCACTGCCCTAGAAGGTCTGCCCCAAGAAACGCCTAGATAACTGAACTTGGACATCCAGTTATGAGACCGCTGCCCTTTCCCCATAGTGGGTTTGTGTGTAATTATGTGGATTGTGTGTGTATATGATTACTTCTCTTTTGTCATATTTTCATCATATGTATAATAATAATAATAATAATAATAATAATAATAATAATAATAATAATAATAATAATAATAATAATAATAATGACATACTGATTTTTGTAGCCCAATACATCTGGCCATTGCCAGATTGGGAAATCGATGTAGTTTTTTGGAGACTTTAGTCATGAAAGTGAAGAGAACCTGAGTGAATTAATTCTTCAGTATTTAATAAATAAAAGGAACCTTTCATGAAATGTAGTCTCTTGGTTGACAGCATATAACATTTCTAGCTAGAGTTTTTCCCCATTATATTTCAAATTAGAACAGATCTACTGACATCTGGGAGAGTGAAAGAAAGTGGCATGCTGCCATTTGCATCATGGGAAGATCTTAAAATGGGCAACCTCACCTGAATTTAAATTAAATTTGTATCCTCACCTGAAAGCTTTATTTTCTTAATCAAACAGATCATTCTGAACTCCATGCACAGATACCAGCCCCGTTTCCATGTGGTGGTGGTGGACCCACGTCCAGACAGTGAACGTTATGCCCAGGAGAATTTCAAATCTTTCATCTTTACAGAGACTCAATTTATGGCAGTGACCGCCTATCAGAACCATCGGGTAAGAACACAGTCTATCGTGGTTTTTCCTCCAAGAGAACTGACTTATGGAAGAGGGTTGATGTGGGACAGAATACCACTAAATTCTTACAGAAAAATCAGGATGGCCCCCACTCTGTTGGGTAAGCACAGGTAGTCCTCAACTTATGACCACAATTGAGCCCAAAATTTATGTTGCCAAGTGAGAAATTTGTTAAGTGAGTTTTGCCCCGTTTGCTGACTTTTCTTGCCACATGGTTGTGAAGTGAATCTGGTTTCCCCATTGACTTTGCTTGTCAGAATGTCACAAAAGGTGATCACATGACCCCGGGACACTGCAACGTATTCATAAACATGAGCCAGTTGTCAAGCATCCACATATAAATCATGTGACTGATTCTAAGAATGCTACAATGGTCGTACATGTGAAAAATAGTCACAAGTCACTTTTCTCAGTGCCATTGTAACTTTGAATAGTCACCAAGTGAACTCTTGTTAAGTCGAGGACTACCTGTATGCATAACACATTGCTCACGACCAGTGGTGGGATTCAAAATTGTTTACTATTGGTTCTGTGGGCATGGCTTTGTGGGCATGGCAGGGGAAGGATACTGTAAAATCTCCATCCCCACCCAACTCCAAGGGAAGGATAATGTAAAATCCCCATTCCCTCCCCACTCCTGGGGGAAGGTTACTGCAAAATCCCCATTCCTTCCCCACCCCACTAACCTGCTTTCCAGCTCTGTTCTCCTGTGCAGGGCAACAAAAGAAGACCCAGCCAATCAGCTGGGACTTGGGAGGCAGAGAATAGATGTGGGCGGGGCCAGTCAGAGGTGGGATTTGCTGGTTCTCTGAACTACTCAAAATTTCCGCTATTGGTTCTCCAGAATGGGTCAGAACCTGCTGAACACCTCTGCTCATCACCCTAAACTGATAACCTAATTATGAATCCTAAACCAGCAATTTAAGAAGGCATCTGAGGGGATACAATCAATATGGATGAAAGGGACTAGCTCTCAGCCCCAGTATACCGCATAGTTCATTGGATAATGAATTTTCTCTCTCAACCTCTTTTTGCTAGGGAACAATAGGATAGAAAACCTTTTATGTGTAAAGGCGTATCAATGAAGCCAAGACTAGGTGTCATATTGAGCTTGAAGGAGACTTTGCCTTTTTTAAATGCCATCATCCTACTATCCTCAGAAAAAGGGTAGGCAGGATATAAATCAAAGGTTTCTTGTGTCCCTTGGCCTTCTAAACAGTTACATGAGGTATGTGAAGGAACTTGACTGAAATTCCCTTCTCTGGGACTAGTGAAAGCTATCTGAACAAAGATGAGGCTGGCAGGGAAGACAGTAAATCACTGATAAAGCTATCCCTACCTTGACAGATCACCCAGCTGAAAATTGCTAGTAACCCTTTTGCTAAAGGTTTCCGGGAGTGTGAGCCGGATGACTGGTAAGTCTCTTCCTAGATTACTATTCTACTAAGCCAGAGAAAGACAAACTGAATGAATGGAGCCATTTATTCAATGAAGACCTTGTTGCACTTGCCACTAGAGGTAGGTTGTTGCCTATAGAGGTAGGTTTTGTTTAGGCAAGCATAATGTTTGATAAACAAACAAGTAAATAAATAATGAAATGTAGGACTCGTTGATATAGAAGGTTAAAAAATGATAGTCATATAAATGTATTTAAAATACACATATTGCTGGTGTGGAGGTGCTCTGCAGCTGTTATTTGGGTTCTTTCTGAACACAGGCCTTTGATGGGCCTGAATCCAAGAATAAACCAGGTCAGGAGAGTGGGAGAGAGACGTGGAATGAAGGAGGGAGCCCTGCACAACTCATTGAGAGAATCCCCTTTTTTCATTAAGTCCATCTGACTTCCACTCCATTCAAAAGCTAGACTACTTGTAGATGGTGATGTACTAGTCTTTCACAAGACTGGTGGTTAATAAGATAGTTTTACGGCTTTGCTAGAAGAGGAAGCTGGCAGAAGTCTTTGTCTAATTTCACGCCAGCTAAAGTAACCCAAATGGAGAAGTGTTGCAAGGGAATAGCAGTTCTGACAGTAAATGCAATCAGAAACACCCAGAAATATTCCTTGGATGCCAAATGGTATTTATATACTAAATAATACTAAAATGGTGTTGCTGCCACTCCCCCAAAATACAGTCAGGCAGAACCTTTTTTTGGCTAAAGGAGAGAATCTTCAATGCTCTAATATGGGACATCTCTTTTGCAGTTTAAATCAATTGGAGTTTCCCCACCCACCCCTTTAATATCCCAGCAAAATGACAATGTGTAGGGAGGGATTATGCTCACAGTATTCTCAACCAGGCAACTTGTCAGATGCCAGCCCGACAATATTAATGCCTTATCAATACCTTTAAAAAGATCTACAATGCCTAATTCATGATCTTGGTAATGATGTGATCAGGGTCTAGAACAGCCAAGAACAAATTTACCCTTCTTCCACGGCTGCAAACGGATGAAAGGCTGAATTACGAGACACTCTCTCTCAAAAGCAAGGACAGAGATCCAAGTCATGCTAGTTCTGTTACAACTGACTTTACCTCATGAGGCTTTTCCCACATACATAATGTCTAGAACTGCTATACAATTGTTCCAACAATGTTTTAGGGATAATTGTTTGTTATCAGCTACATCTGCATCATCCTGATAAACCAACAAAAGGGAGGAATTAAGACAACAGTGGTGGCTAAGGACACAGATAGAACTGAATCAAGTTGTATTCTCAAAAACTGTAGAGTAATGCTTAAGGGAAATTTCACATTTATACCTTCACTGATTATGTTGTATGTGTGTAGGCCAGGATCCTCAGGGCAACTACTGGGTTGTTTATCACGGAATGGGAATACCTCTTCCTTAGGCCAACTTCAAGAGATTCCAGAGAAAGGTAAGATGAAAAAATAATTTATCAGTTTAGAATGGAGAAATTGACAGGAATGCAGTGTCTCAAATCCAAGTGCATAATAGGAAAACCAGCAATCCTACGAGATTTCATGCTTTATTAATCTGTTTAGGGCCTTAAGGTAATGAAGCTATACAACTTCCTACATTAACTGTTTTACAAAGTTTTTGTGAGTAAGTGTTGTCTTCTTCCATACCAGCCTCATTGTAGGCTGAAATTAGCTTGGTTTTTGTTATTGTTGTTCCTTTCATTAAGCCTGTCTCCAGGTCAGCCATAATCACGTTGCATATAATCCAAATTTTTGCTGAAGCACAAAATTATCATTAAGAAAGAAGAAAACTTGAACTGCGTTCTTTAAAGATCTGCACCATAATGGTATCATAAATGTTTAAATGCTTAGGCACTATCTGGAAAATTACCGAAATTTGAAGATTATGGCTTCTGCAAATAGTTGATTTGATATCTTCTCATTTAACAAGCAAGAGAAGAATTCATATTAACAAAGATTTGCATACATGTGGGTTTTTTTCCTCCTTGAAGCAGTTTGATTGTATTCCTGTCTTTAATCACTGCACCAAACTGGTTCTCCAAGTTTAATAAGTTTAACTGTTACCAAGGGAATGCATTGGACCAGTGAACTGATATTTAAATTGCTAGTTTCAACAACTTGAAAATAGTAAAATGCAAACCACACTATTAGAGATCCTAGGTCTTAGTAAAATCATAGAGATACCAGTAATCCCTGCATGTGGATTTCTCAGTAAAGGTTTTGCCTTCCCCACTTTAACAACAGCGAAGGTGTATTTCCAGAGCATCACTGGATTAGGGCTTCTGGTAATAGCTTTTATTCTCTACAGCTATCTCTCTCTTTCTAGGGTTTTCCAGCAACCACCATCTCCCTCCTGCCCTCCTCAGAGAAGCCTCCCAATTCCAGCATCAACCTCTGGTGACATCAGCTGGCCTCCCAGATGTATGCATCGCACGGCGACCCTTGAATGAAGTTTCAGGGGCCCTGCCCTACAAGCATCTCTCTTATCACAGCTTCTATGTGGGAGCTCGATCTGGGGCAGCACCTTACGCCCTACCTAGCAACCGGGCAACCAGCTTCCATACTCTCAACATTTACACAGCTGGTGGCTATGAGCAATGAGACAGCAGGGGCAGCCGTTTCCCCATCCCCTGGCCCAGTTCAGATAAAACTTTCCCAAAGAACCCCTTTCATCTCCCAGTGTGGTTTTTTTATGACACTACCTGCCAGGAAGTTGGCCCGTTATGCAGCTTCCTCTTCATTGAAGGCATTTTGGGGGTTGGTATTTTTTTTATGCCCAACTGATACTTATATCTTATCCCTTGCTCTAGATAAGTTTCCCACCACTTCCTCAATTATATATTAAGCAATTATATTATATATAGACACAATGTAGTCCAATACAAAACCAACCTCCTTTAAAAGGTGTAATGGAACTCAAAACAAGAACAGAAAGTGGATTTCACTGCGATCTCAGCCACCTGCTCATAACTGATTCTGCTCCTTGCCTCTATGAAACAGCCCATAATTCTTTAACAAGTTAAGGAATTCAACCCCATCTCCAAACACAACAACCCTGAGTGAAACACACCCGTCCCATGTTCAAACCTGCAAAGCAGAAATCCAAAGTAAATCTTGCAACTACAAAATGCTCTCCAGGCAGGGGTAAAAATGCAGCGAGTTTTATTGTTATTGCTGAGTTAGTGCCACAGAGTTAAGGATTTCAATGTCTTTAGCACAGAATTCTACATGGTCTATTGAATGCACTGTCCTTATCTTAATGGGAGGATGTGACAAGATTTTGACGCATTTTTGAGGCCTCCCTGCCTTCAATGTGAAGGAAACCTGTAGCGCACTTTAGGCCAAGAATCCCTCTTTTTGTTTTTGGCAAAATTAAACTTAGTTGGCCTAGATGGGAGAGGTGCCGTTTTCATTTGCTCCATTTCTGGTCCACGTTTCATTGATGTGTTTTGCCAACAGCCAGTAAACTGAGTTCAAAAGATAGAATGAACAGCCACAGTCATCTCAATCCACTTCCCCGTATTAACCCCCAACATGACAATTGCATCAAGCCGATCTTGACACTCTACCTCCTTATTTTGACAGCTGCAGCATCAACCTGAGTTCTTGGTCATAAAAAAATTTTCTGAGGCTGACCTGGACATTAGCACCCAATAAAATTCTAGTGCAGATCTGCAAAAGGCAGAAGGTAATTTAAAAAGCGCCTAGACCAGGTCTCTTGTCAACTAATCTTAAATAAGTAAATGGGTCCTTTTTTACACAGACGAGTGATACAAATGACAATATCCTTGTAAGTCTTACTGGACCACATTTCGATGTTTCTATATTCTGATTTTCCTTAAGGTCTTTTACCATTCTTTCCCACCGGAGCTTTCAGATTACAGAGGCATAGATAAGGTGGTTATTGGAACAACATATCAAAAGATTTGAAAGCAATGTGGCATGATTCAAAACATAGATCTGGAAGATTGTTCCTTCAGTTCCAAAATGTCAGCCTAAATACTGATATTTCATATGTGAGTCAGCACAGGATCTTGGATTAATTGTAACAGGTTGTTAAAGGCTAGTGCATGTTCTATCTGGACAGAAGTCACAACCAGTAGACGGCAAAGCATGAATCAGTTAAAAACAAAAAGCATCCATTAGTTCAGGATGGCACAGTAAATATTCCCCTTCTGGAAAGAAGCAGTCACTTTTCTTCTTAGATCCAAATGTCGCTGGTGAAAGTGAAGGGGCTGAACTGGTACCCAGCTCCTGAATAGAATTTGTTTTGGAATTCCACCCTGAAAAATACAGGACAAGTCAGTTTAGGATTTGCAAGATCAATTATATCCCCAATTTTATCCAGTTCCAATATAGATGCACTGTGTCATCCCAGGATTCAACAACCCATCTAGGATCAGACTTAATCCCAAGAATCACTTATCGTCTCTATGACAGCATAGAGCAGTAGTGGCTAATCTTTTGGGGCTCCTGTGCCAAAAATTGTGTGAGTGCTTGCATGGGCGCACTCATGTGCAAGCACCCAGAAGGCAATGTGCACAGCTCCCCCGCCCCCTTACCTGCACTGCACATACATGCACTTCCCAGCTGATTTTTGGCATGTTTAAGGCCTTTTTTGGCTTCCCAGAGGCTTGAGGGAAGCCTCTACAGCCTTTGGAGGCCAAAAAATGGGCCCGTTTCATTACTTCCAGTATTTCCAGAAATACAGGAAGTGATGAAACGGGCCTGTTTTTCGGCCTCCAAAGGCTGCAGAGGTTTCCCTTGAGCTGGGAGGCCAAAAATCAGCTGGGATACGTGTGCATGCATAGTGAGGTAAGTTTGGCTAGGGCTTGGGTACCGACACAAATGGCTCTGCGTGCCACCTGTGGCATGCGTGCCATTGGTTCGCCATCATGGACATAGAGGAACTTAGCAATCTAAGTCCAGTAAGGCAGTAACATTTACACAAAATGTTCTGGTGTTTGCCAGGAGAAT